TGGTTTTTGAATTTATATATTTTACTCGGCTGATATTAATTGCTACATCATTAGACATGTTAGTCAATGTATACTCAATTGTTTCGTAAATACATTTCTTAGCTAATTCTATACATCTGGTTTATTATAAATTATTTACCTGGAACATCTCTAAATTATTTTATATATAACTAACCTTAAATACTGCATTCAAAGATTTTATATTTTTATGCATTGACTTTATTTTTATTTTAGACCACAAATTAACAAAGGATCAGAAGATTTACCTATAGAGTATCTTACCAGTTCGTTGGCTCAACAAAATCAAGTAAGGGCTATTTATTATTTGAGAGTTCTCCTTGGGGATGGGGGACTAAAAAGTTTAGGCGTAAGATCAAACAAAACAAAACATTGAGTATGATCTATACTTCTTTTTTTTTTGTCCTTGGAAAGTTGGAAATATATAAATTATATCATAAACAAATACTGTGATAAAATTATACATTTTAAGAGATCCCTCGTGGGTTAATTTATTTTTTAAAAGTGTAAAACTGAAACAATTAGTGTTCAGTAGACCAGTTATGTTGTCAGCTTTAGTTTTATAGTAAACTGATTGATCTAGGTCAAATTATCAAACAAATGTTTGAAAATTCAAACATATTATTATGTGTTTGTATGGCAGATCTTTCACATTATTTGAAACATTTTTAAGTGAGTTATGAGCAAAAGTAATATACTGCAATTTAAAAATGCTTATATGAAACTCATATGAAAAATTAATAGTTAAAATATTGTAAAAAAAAAATTTTATCCTAAGGAATTCCCAACTTAATGATACCGAACAATAGTGACCAATAATTTTTCCCGACACATCTATAGAACCAATGTCCAACGCCATTTGTCAATAAATTATTGAACAAAGCATGATTGAAAATGTAGATAATGTTTATCTGAAAAGTGACAGTGTCTGTCAACATCCAATGATCCATCTGTATCCAAACGTGTGCTATAGTTGGCATTCACTAAAATGTACTACTTCTCCATGTGTATAATGGTTTTAGAATCATTAAATTTATGAATTTGTTGTTGTTTTTTTTAAGTAAATAATATTTTATGAAAAAGCTTGAATATTGTCTTCTGTATTTCAGTATGAAATATTTGCATTATGCTTTACGTTACAAACTTCAGATTCTTACTCTTACCTAACTATCCTAACTTAAATCAAATTTAAAACTAAAGTTTAAGGTTTAAGCAATCTGTTAAAAGTCATCTTTTATAGTGAAATCAAAAAAAAAAAAAAATGTCGAAATATTAACTTGACAGAGTTATTTCTAATCTTATTTATTTTCAGTATTTTCTACCTATACTTTTTTAATCAAAAATAAATTCTTATATGACAGGTCATTTATTACCTGTTTTGTTAAAAATAATAATTTGTGTGGAATTATAATAATCTTTTGATCTTTGTCCAGAGACTACTTACAGTTTACCTAACCACAAGTTACCATTTATTTTCCTTTATTTTTTACCCTAAATTATAAGCTATTAAATGTAGAGAACATTCTAGGAGACTTTGTATTTTAATTTTGAATATAAATCTGGAACCTAATTATAAACATTCACATTAATCAACTTATCTATAGTAAGAATTATAACTGAGTTTGATATTATAATTATAAAAAATGTATTTTTTCACAAAACATTTTATTTTTTATATGAAATGTTTTGATTTGAGTATATTTATATGTTAGATACCGGCAGCCAATAGAAAAACAGAAGAAGAGCTAAGAGAAGACGAAGAATTACAATTGGCTTTGGCTTTATCCCAATCTGAAGCAGAACAACAAAAAGTAATAAAACTTAAAAATAATAAATTTTTTTTTCTTATAATACAGTCTTATAATAATTTATACTTTTCAATAGGGAATACCTTTTATGAATTCTACTTCAATACCTGCTACAAGATTATATTCTTCACCGCCAGTAGTAAGACAACAAGTTTTTCATTCAATTATTTATATCATTTCGTAGATATTAATTGTTTAACTTTCCTTTTACAGAATGAAAAAAAGGTTGAGGTTGAGGCTGAAGATGATCCAGAACTAGCACGTTATTTAAATCGTTCATACTGGGAAAGCATAAAAATTGGAAATTTAGCTAAAGCAAAATTGGCTGCAACAAATGTATGTTTTCAATGATATTTTATAATTATAATTTATAGATGATATTAATCTTTAGTTGTCTATTAAATAATTTAGGCGAATACTGTTGAATCACCAAACAATGAAATTAGTCCCGCCATGAATAATGATCAACCTGATGACTCGGAGGAAATGGAATTGTTTATTACTTCTGTTAAATCACAGTTGGAAATTTTTGTAAATCGTATCAAATCAAATTTAAGCAGAGGTAGAACCGTTATTAATGGTGGTTCATTAGAGACATTTTACTCGAAGATAACGCCTATGCATCAAAAGTTATTGCAATATATTCAGCAACAAGATGAGAAAAGGTGTAAGTATGGATAACTGTTACTTACCAAAGTTGGCAATTATTATAAAAATATTATTTGGTCAATGTAGAATTGTAATGAACTAATAACACTAATTATGCGTTAAATATAAATTAGATATCTAATTTTTAAGTTCAATGTTTTTAAGAAATATAAAATAGTTATGAGTCATAAGCAAGGACTTCATGCACTTCACGCACTAAAAAATCATCAAATATGCATTTAAAAATATGCACTTATGCATAAAAAAATTAAAAATATGCGGTTAAATATGCCATTGAAAAAATTAATTTTATTATTATTCTATATAAGTTTTAACTATATTTATATTATTAAATTCATTTGGAATCTGTTTTGAATGTTGGATCCCATTTCTTCATATATTCTGCACATAATAAAACAAAAAAGGTATTTACCAACCATTATTATTATTTCAAGATAACATTTATCTTTATCGTCTTTATGAGTTTATAACAATTGTTGACCTTAGTTCATGAAAAATGTTCACCAAAGAGCTTGATTTTCAATAAACCATCAAAATATGCACTAAAAGCTTAAAATATGCTCTTATAATCAAAAATATGCCCCTTAAACCAAAAAATGTCCAAATATGCAAAAATATGCACTAAAAACTTTTAGCTTTTGGTCACAAACGTTGTGAAAGGTATTGTGTACTTACTCTGCATACGTTCAACTAAACCATAAAAAACATGCAAATGCATGAAAGTCCTTGCTCTAGTTATGACCAACTAATTCTTTAACACTCTATGAACTTTTGTAAATATTATAATTCACATACCCTTATTGATAGTATTATAAAATATTAGTAGATACATAAAATAAAAACCAAAAAAAAAAATAAGATAATATAACCAAATAGACTGAATTAGTACAGAGATAGCATAATAGTTTTCATCAATTCCAATAGATGTGATTTTGAACAAAACAAAAATTTGAGTCATAAAAATAAAAAATTGATAATAAAACGAAAAATATTTCTTTTTTAGTATATTTTGAAAGGTTACAAGACAAATTGGTTCAAGTTAAAGATACACGGGCTGCACTAGATGCAATGAGAGATGATCATAAAGCTGCAATTCAACAAGAAGCTGCTTTTGCTGAACAACAGAGACAGATTCAGTTAGCTATGAAATTAGATGTACTGAGACAGAGAAAACAACAGTATCAACAAGTAATTTCCTATTAGCTTTTATTTGAATTAAAATGATTTTTTGACTGCTTGTTTTGTAGTATCAACATCAAATGACTCTTCAACAAGTGCAACAACAAGAACAAGAAATGGCTATGAGGATGGAACATCAGAGGCAAAACTACCTTAATAGTAATATGTACGGCCCTAATTCTTTGCCAAGTGTGCCCACTGCACCTAATCCTTACATGTCGCCTGGTCCTAGTAAGTAGCAGAAATAATTTGTTTGCTTATTTGAGGCTATTTAGATCCACCATGCCTCACCATGCATCTTTATCTAACCTGGCCCTTTCTCCATCCCTGATAGGAACTTCAGATCTTCTCTAACTTGGTTGCTCCACATCTGTCTGATCTGGTTTCCATTTTGTGTCTTGTAAACTATCAATTAACATCTCTGCTCTCCACACCTTTCCTGCTCAGGGCTTATTGCTGTGTACTGGCTACTCGCTTAAATAATAATAACTAGATTCTTTGTTAATACAAATACTAATAGTTTGTCATCATCTTATAGATTCATTGATGTCTTCTCAAATGCAAGATAATGCTATACGGTATCCGCAGTCATCAGAACCGGCTCACTTTCAACATATTTCTCAACCTCAAGGTATAAAGTATGAGTTTGAGTAAATAATAATAGTAATACAAAATATGTATACATTTTGCAGGTTTTGTTACGAGACACATGTTACCTCCAAATTCAAGTTCAATCACAAACAACCAACCAGTGAATTTACCTTCCAATGAACCAAATAACATGTCACAAGTCAATTCAAACATTCCTCAGCCTATTTATCAGCCACGCATGGCTCCTATGACAAACACAATTAATTCAGGGGTTTCTGTTAGTCCATCAATGAATTCCATGCATCAACAGCAGCTTCCTGGTGTTGGCTCTCACACACAGCCTATGATGCCTGGCCATCAACAACCTCAAATGCAAAATATGGGTCCACCACAACACTCGCTTCCAGTAGGACAGCCAATGATACCCAATCAACATCAACAGCCAATGATGGGTCAGATGTCTGCTATGCCTTATGGTGGACCTGTTCACATGGGACAGTACGGTGCACACCAAATACCTAGTCAACAAGTAAATCCACAGCCGTCCGCTCCAAACCAAGTAGAACAACCAAAAGTTGAGCAACCCCAGGTTGCAGAGTTAATAAGTTTTGATTAATTAATTTAATGTTTCGCATTCCAAATATACACATTTTTAACATTTATTTAAAATTAATATTATATTATTTTAACTTTGTGGGTATATTATTCAATTGTTTATTATATACATTATACATATTATAAATAAAAAAAAATATATATATAAATTATAAATAGTGCATTACAAATTAACATGGAAAACAACCTTGTTAAACTACTTAATAATATAACTTGCACACACACACACATTTAATGTTGTTATATACAATGTTGAGGGTTAATCATTTCATCATGTCTAGAAAAATCTCATTGGCATTAACATTGCATGATTATCGAACAAACATTTGTCATTATGAAAACAATTTAGTTTTATATTTTAGCCGTAGTAAGGTGTTCTGGTGTATGGAGTCCGGTTATCTTCTTCTTTGATTTTTTGATAATAACTATAGGTTACCCACCACATGTACACGTAAACACCTGTAAAATATGAACATAAGTCGTGGCACAGTGATGTGTATTACATTTAGGATTTTATAACTTAATTTATATAATACTTACCCACGCATAGCATGCCAATCACTAGAACCATAATGCTAGTGAAATAGAATTTATGAATCAAGAAATCAATAGTAGTGTATATTACAGATATGACAAGTCCAATGCATAACATGATCGTTAGTACTATCCAAGGAAGCATCAATATCTTCTTTCGCTAAAATAAAATCATAATGATGAGAGAACATTCTGCAAATAATGTTTTTTGCATTAGCTCATGCTTACCATAAAAATTCCGACCAAAAGCACAGTCGATATTAATACTGTCATAAGCAGGTTGATTACGACAATGATTTTTACTGAAAATAAAATCAATATAACAATAATTATTATTGATTATAACATTATACTATATAAAGATTCAATAAAAATTATTTGAATATGGAAGAGACCTAGTAAAAAAATGTTTATACTTCATTCAGGAAGAGTAAACAAACCAAATTATAAGTTGCCCACTAGAAAAAATGTGTCCAACCATGGTTTGGTAGTGTAGTTACTATAAGTGTGTTAGTTATTTGAAACTAAAGACTTACCCACAGTTTTGGGTAAGAAATCTATGATGATCGTCTGTATTTTGATGTCGTTTGTCAGAATCATGATAAGAGCGAATATGGCAATCACCTGAAAAAAGAAAACAGAGGGAAACCGTTAGCTATGTGACGTGCGTCTGTCAGTCTGGTAGGTGTTGTACAATTAATACTAATGTGTATATCAATATTCGTTAGCATACGAATATAACGCTTGGAACCTCCACAGAATTTTAGGTTCTGGTCTATATTTTCCAAATTAAATTTTTTGGCTCTCACACTCGCTATTGAAGGGGTTTAGTATAGGCAATTTAAATGACATTTTGAGAAGAATTAAAATCATTAATCCTAAATATGTTCAAATACTGATTCAAAGAATTTTAAAAGTAGTCCCGTGTTAGTAATAACAATGGTTGGTGCGTAATAATGAGATGCATTAAAATGGTTTCGTGTGGAACAAACGTATGAGTAGGTAGGTACATTATTTGCAGTAAACTTACCAAATTTTCACGCTATACATAGGCCTGTGGTCTTAAACACGTGGCCTGGCTTATTATTATTTATTACTATTGAACGATAAAGGTCTCATCAAAAAGCAGTAAATAGATGTAAGATATGGTGCTTATATGGTATATCACATTTACTGGTAAGTCTTTTTTGATAGTTTATCCCAAATATTTAAAAACATATACAAGTGTTAGACATTTTCTAAGCTGTCAACTCTATTTAAGAAGCCACCGAAAGCCAACCTCAACTAGTTGAAGATGAATATATTTTTCTGCTACAAAATTAGTACAAAACTAGATAGTATCTTAGAACAATAAAAATGTTGTATATGTCAATGAAAAAGGTAACCTTGGCCATGAGTCATGACTTAATTAAAGATTGAGGAAATTTAAACAAAAGACAAATTTTAAATTCACAATATTGTCAAGAATCTACATGATTTCAGAAATTATTATAAGATTATAAAAAAGTAAAAACATTTTTTTTAATATCTAATTTATTTCGACTGAAACAGATCCCAAATGTATGTAGATACTTGGTGCACAAGTCCATCCGAATATGCCACTAAGACGTAAAATAGAATCACAGAACACCGAAAGTATTTTGAAATAATAATTATCCTAAAATATCTGGGGTTAAAACCCCTCACCTCTTCCTTGTTTGAAAATTATATTAGTTTTTTATTATTAATCATATCAGTAGAAAAACATTTTTACAATTTCCAGAATTGTACTTTTAAATTGCAATACTTCATGAGGTAGGCACCTACCTATATTTAGCTGTGTGTCTGCCCCGAAATATAACACTTTCCCCACTTTCTACTCAATTTATAGTGATTATTTCGACTATACCTACCACAAAAACTAAAATATTCCGTTAGTTTTGTTGTCGATATTTTTGAAAAATGTATTGTTTAAGTACATAATATTATTATTATGTGATAATGTTTATTTAATCTAATTTATTATTTTGCAGTGCAATTTGAATTTATCACGCAAATAACTTGACAAATATCGGGTGTGGACGTTACGATATTGCTCGAAACATCTATGCCATAACGAATATCGTCAAGAATATTATTTTATTTTGCGAGTTTGTGACCAGCTCGAACATAATAAGAAAGAAAAATTTGACGAAAATAAGATCAATAAATCGGAATTAATTGACAGCGAAACAACGTTCAGATAGCTCGTGAAAATATTGGCCAAGGTTTTCGGGCGTTGAACACGAATTGATCGCCCGAAAGGAAAATATTCACATTTTTGCACGTCATCGTATAATATTAAATATGTAATATTAGGTAATATCATCATCTAGTGTTGCGTCACCGACGTTTAATAAACGTTTTTAATTGAAATTTAACATAATTCGAAATTAATTAGTACCCATTTAAAATGTTAGTTGGACATTTGAAAATGTATAGGTACGCAAGACTTTATGCGTTACATCGAATCTGTGGAATTACTTGTGTTTTTATATGCTGCAGGTAACCAGATACCTTTTTTTGGATCTATGGGCTATGATGATATAATAAATGAAAAATCAATAATATTGTAGCTAGAAAACGAACAACCACCAAAAATATATTATTTAGATAATTTTCATCTGTTGAATTTTTACGGTAAATTTAATCAAATTTTGTACGTTCACCTATTTTATAGTTCAGCTATATTTTTTTTTCTAGAATATCAAATTGTTCAAGCATAATATTTAAATACGCAATGCTTAAGAAGTTAAAAATGTTCTACTTTAATGAAACTTTTGATCATATTAGCGATTTAAGTTTTTTTTAAAACTTTTTCTTACTAATATTTTATCCGTAATCACTGTAACATTATCTCATATCTCTTGGATGCAGAAATTGGAAAGATTCTTAACGTTATTAATTATTATTGAAGCTCGAATAATATGTTTGTGACTTTGCATATTTTTTTAGATAATATCTTATTATATAATACTTATTTGCCTAGAAACGTTTAATAAAAACTCATGAAATATTATAAAGTAATATTATTTTTGTAAATTTTTACTATATAAAAAGGAATATACTAGTTATACTGTAAATTATTTTATTATTATGACCTCGAATTTTACATAAATATACCATTTAGTTAATAATACAATATTTTAATATTTAGATTAAGGCGATCTGTCGATTTAAATGTAAATAAATTGTCGTATTTGAATTTACTATTTTAAGATTAGTTTATTTGGAATTTATAGTTTTAGAATATTGCTCACTGATGCAAACGATAGGAAGGGCATAATTGATTAAATATTCTATTTCAATACGTCGGGAATGGGTGTATAAAAAAATATAGTTGAAATAAATACAATAACACGAAATTTGCATAAATGTTTTTCAATGTCAAACTTGTTTTGTTTTTATTTTTAATGACGTAAAAATAATACATTTTACCATTCAAAGATGTAATAAAGCATGTTTAACGATCCTCAAAAAGCGCCTACCTCACTAACTTGCACAAGTAATAAATGACGTTTAGCATCTATCATTAAACACGCTAATATAAGACCATAAAATCAGATAGTAATGGCGAAGATAAGATACAACTATCTATGCAGCTGTCGACGAAATTAATTTCATCTATATATTATTACAACAATAATATTATACAATGCCGATTTTGTAACTAACTTCCATAGAGTTGGATTTAATTTACAATTATTTACAATTAATTCATAATTGTTCACAATCTGCCCTGAAGCGATCGATTGGACCAAGCGCGGGACCTACGTGATTTTGGCTCCTGAAACTTATTTTTGGAGTAACGGTCTTGGGGGGAGGGGGGGACACTTAAAAATTGAAATTCAGGGATTGAATTTTCAATAATAGCATTTTGAATTTTTTTGCATTAAGTCGGGGGCAACTTCATGTACTTGATTTTATATTACATTACAAATATTATTATTATAGGTAAGTGATAATGTACATTATGTGATATGAATTTATAATTCTTAACAATTAACATTATAAGCTTTAAAATTGTCGGTAGTTGTTTCTTTGTACATCGTGCCGATATAATATTATATATCATGCTACCTATTTCAAAATAAATTACCTACTTAACCACTAGTTATTTTCAAATCCGCCGTATAACGTTGAACTAATCACAACGTGCATACATCATACATACATCAATAAATGGGACTTAATGTATTATAAATCAATATTATTGTAATCAAAAATTCAGTAAAACATAATTATTAATGCATTATAAGACTTGTAAAGTCAACACCTGGCAAAGAAGATAGGTAGATATATAATTATTTCAAAAAGGTAGAATCGATATTTATCATGGTTATTTTAATTTAGTACCTATGGCCATATGTATTATGATTCATGCGTGTACCAACAAAGTGATTAAGGAATGTTTAGTTTTATTAGTTAATAGTTTTATCTTGTTGTATTTTTATCCCAGCCAGAAACATATTTTTTTTAAGTTCATTGATTATGTGTAATATTTGTGTAGTTTAATAGTTGGCGATCACCAATCTTCCTAAAATATTGTTGAAGTCCTACGAAAAACGGAAATTTATTTGTCTATTGAAATGTAAGCGCAGGCCGTAAAATGTGGTCTAATTACCACCACCCATGTCAATACGAAATGCGCTTTTATTGTTATTGTCATTATAGTTTCTAAATAATGAAATTGACAATCGATAGGGTAAATTATAAAACATTTTCGGTTGTCTATTAATATTTCTGTTGTATTGCTGATGTTTGCTGGCAATACGTTTTTCTTTTTGGAGATAAACTAAAGAAGGTAACTAAATAAAATTATATTATGTTCTATCGAACTGCTCGGTCGTATAGTTAAAATAGACGTTTTCGCCGTCCTGAATATTATGTAACTTTCTAGTGAATATATGCCAAGGAAAATTATTATTAATACATCTGGAATGGTTGACCTCTATTATTAATATTTATAATTCATAATATCTGATTCCAGACGTCAGATTCCCTCGTAAAAATTCGTTTAAGAAAATAACTTTTTATGGGTCGGCACGTGCCTATGTAAGTATCGAGTGTTCTGTCTTGTACACATCCACATTGTAAACGAGAAACCATCATCTGCTAATCACTATACATATTGGTTTCGCCGTTATTATAATGGTACCTAAATGATAAATAAATAAACACAATATATTATATATATATTGAACAAACAATTTCTCGTATAAACACACTCACACCATCGACGTGCTTACTATGCTAAATATAATACTTGTTATCGTCTCGCAGAGCAACTGGCAGAATATCGAAATGCGCAGTAAAGTAGGTATGTGGATATAAAAAAAACGTGCGCTGTAACGCGTCATTATATACAAATGTACACATACATGACATAACATGACATACCTAAACCCTAAGTCTAATAAATAGTTGTCTCGAATAAAAACTTTTTTTATGCACATGTACCAGGGCAATGTCTGAGAACGATTTTGGAGTGAAATAAGTGTTGGAAGGCCGGCGATATAAATGTATAATATTGTGTTATATTGCGTCAAATACAGTAATACCTACTATAGTATTGTAATTTTATAACAGTCGAGTCTCCATAACTC